TTTTTCACAGGCTTGCACAGGACACATTCGACTGAGTGTTTTCCAATGCTTTCGAAAGAGAGCTTGCAGTGATGGGCAAGTATTTGAGGCATTAATTGCTATTAATGCTCCCTGGCAGGCCAAATTTTATGGAGAACAAGACTTATTGGCTTTTTTCGAAACATACTGAGGGTTTCAAAGCACTGTTTCAAATTTTCGCAGAGTTTCGGCCGAAATAAATTTGTGCAAGAATGGAAGCCGCAGAGTCAAGAGTCTCAGATTCATGCATAGGGATAAATTTTTAGAAATAGTTCAAATGAGAAAGCAGCAGTTGAAGGAAACTGCCAGTAGAAAATATGGCCTTTGCATATTTTTTTTTTATTTTCGATAAATATTGACATAAAATCATTTTTAGCTAGCAAAAATCCCTCGCACTGGTTCATTGTTTTTTTTTTCAGGGCAGCAGCCGGCGTTTCAGCGCCAAATGTAGTAGCCATCGACAACAAAATCGAGCAGGCCATGGTTTGTGTCATGGATTTTGAAAACAGCAAAGAAAGGCGACTATTAGGATCCGTCTTGGCTGGGTCCGAAAGCAAGTTGTGTTGAGTGGAGAGTGAACGGGGTGGGTGCTGAAGGCGAGGAGGTGTTTTAGATCACCACTGGGAAGGTAGGGAAAGGGTGGTGGAGGGAGTGGTAACGAAGGAAAGGGGCGTCGTTTTTGACTGGAAAGGAACCGGGGCCTTGATTTGAGACAGAAATTATAAACAGGGGGGATTTATGTTCAGTGTGGAACTTGGCGCTGAGAGGAAGTTAGCGGTTTTGAATGTAATTCCTGGAACCTTACCTAAATAAATTTTTGCCACTCGAACTAAGAAGCGAGTGCATACCGAAGACGCTAACTTCAGATTTCATGTTGAGTAGAAGGCTCGCTCCCAATCCCCTCCTTCAGCCACGGTCTTTCCAGTCAGTGAACTCATCCCCTTCCCCGCCCCTCGTTGCGATCCCGAGACATGAACCACCAACCCCAACCCTCATCCCTTTCTCTTCCTGTCATCGCCCTTCAGTTATTGCAACTCGCCTCCCAATCGGGCTGAAACGAGTTTTGGTAGCTGCCTCAAACATTGATCAAATTAATTTGGTTTTAAAAAAATTAAGATAATTCAAAAATTTTTGGACATTCACCATTTTAATTTCCCTCAAATATTTCACTTTTGCATTGAGAATTGTGTAGCAGCACCAGTTTTTTGATGTAACTAAAAGTAAGATTTCGACATAATTTGTTAAGCGTAGGAGGGAGAGGCCCCGAGAACTAGCTTAATTGGTGGTCCCACATATCAACGGCAACCGCCTGATGCCTCTCGATGGATCTGTTTTTCGATGGTTGTTCAAAAGCGAGATAATGGCGAGCTCGACTTTCTGGCCGAGTGCCAGCATCAATTCACCGTCAAAACGAATGAATGAATCGTGGAGGAATTAGTTGTTAGCAAAAACAGACCCTTCTGTTTCAGCATGAAACTGGCGCTGTCGCCGTTGTGTCATGTTCTTTAGCAGCTTTAAGTGCATAGAAAAGAAATTGAGTTTAGCGTATGTGACTTCAGTGCTTCACAAGAATCTTGTGGTTTTTAGGATTTGGTGAAGACCCATTTAACGTTTGCAGTCCGCGAAGAAGTTGAGATCCTACGCTCTACAATTGTTGAACTGGAAGCAAAAGTGAGTAATAATGGTTTTTCACGATAATCCCGTTGTCTCTTTTTGTGTTTGTTCATGGATTGCTTTAGTTTTTGGATTAATGAAGCACGCTAATGATTACAGTTAAAAAATTGGCAAGTTGTGCGCGGACGGCCAGAGCATGTTTTCCCTCATGTCCCTTCCCCCCTCCTCTTTGACCCCAAAAGACCGCACGATCAATAATAGTCCCTTAAAACGATTCTGAGACTCACTTTTGTTTTGAAAAATCAAATAGACGCATGAATTCGCCAATTTTTATGCATTTTTGCAGTGCAGCGCAATAGCTGCTACAGCCAGCAAAAACGCATATTGTCGAGTGGCTGTCTGGGTGTGTTCAGAATCAAGTGAACTTTGTCATCCACTTCCATCTCAGCAACCGGGAAAGATGGGAGGCTGAAATTTTGGATACATCTCCCCACCCCGTGTGTTTTCCTGCCGTTTTAAAATTTCCCCCTAGACGCGCCTGGACTCTGCGTACGGACCCCCGAAAAAA